GACTAATATTCTGATCAGATTTTAGATAAATATGGGGAGCATGTTACTACGCAGTATAGGAAAGACCATTCTTACTACAAATTGATGACAGATATGGATGAACTATGGAAAGATTTTAGTGTTTTGTGGAAGATAAAATTTGTGATAAGTGAAATTTGACTTTTGAAAGAAAATATTTTTTGAAAAGTGATGAAGAAACAGCCTATTCCTCTATACTGCTAAAAATAAAATGTGAGAAGAGAGAAGTGATTTAAGAATTGAAATGTTGATTACAAGCAAGGCCAAAACTTAAGAAGTTGGAAAATCTGTAGCCTACCTACGAGTTGCTAAGAAAGCCCTGAGTGAATGTGTAAAGAGCAGATGAAGTTCTGTGTAAAGGTGTATTGTTTGACCTAAGGTGGCCGTGCAAGGGCCAAGGTCTCTGACCTATAGTAATTTGGCAGAGCCTCTTTCCCCTCATAGGTCAGACTCAGAGAAAACTGGCAAAAAGCTGTCATCTGGTCCAAGTACTAGTGTTTACACTATTGTTTACAAATATTTAGCTAGTGTGAACAAAAACTAACTGCTGGAGCTTCTTCCTCTAAAGTATTTTTTTTTTTTTTTTTTTTTTTTTTTTTTTTTTTGCAATTTGACACTGCTCACCTACAGAGACTTCCTATCTAGGAACACTACCTAATATCTCACCCCTGTGCTACACATAGTAAGCATCCTGAAGTTTCATATTGCTGTGGTAGTGATGCTACTACATCAGAGTGCTGACATTCCATCTGACTCTAACTTTTCTTTGTATATAAATGTCATTTCTTCAGTGTTACTGTCGTTTCTTCACTCACTAGCCACTCCTAGTCAGGTTTCCAGAATCAAGCTGCATACCATACCTACACATAGTGCAAAAGAAAACAAAAGTCTATTTGGGAGGAAACATAAAAAAAAAAACCATAATGAGGTATGTCATTAAAAGTTAGGGCCTATTCATTGAGACAGACAGGAGATTAGGCAGTCATCCATACAGGAAGCTAGATCTTTACATAAACACAATGGAAGCCTGACTCTAAACATTTGGAGATCATCCTAGCTTCTTTTTTTCCCCCCTGGTTTCATCACTGTCTCTTTTTTTTCTTATTGATTTTTTTTTATCTCTACATTTTTTCTGCTCCCCTCCTTGTCTCCCCTCCCCTTCAACTCTCTCCTAAGGTCCCCATGCTCCCAATTTACTAAGGAGATCTTGTCACTTTCTACTTCCCATGTAGATTAGATTTATGTTTGTCTCTCTTAGGATCTTCATTATTGTCTAGGTTATCTGGAAATGTGATTTATAGGCTATTTTCTTTGCTTTCTGTGTTTAAAAACCACTTATGAGTGAGTACATATGACAGTTGTCTTTCTGGGTCTGGGTTACCTCACTCAAAATAGTGTTTCCCACTCCATCCATTTGCCTGCAAAATTCAAGATGGCATCATTTTTTTTTCTGCTGTGTAGTACTCCATTGCGTAAATGTACATTTTCCATATACATTCTTCCATTGAGAGGCATTTAGGATGTTTCCAGGTTCTGGCTATGACAAATAATGCTGCTATGACCATAGTTGAGCACATGTCCTGTTGGCACGTTTGAGCATCCTATGTATATATACCCAAAAGTGATATTACTGAGCCTTGAAGAAGGTTGTTTCCTAATTTTTTGAAGGCATCACAATCGCTGACTTCAAACTCTACTACAGAGCTACAGTACTGAAAACAGCCTGGTATTGAAATAAAAACAGACAGGAGGACCAAAGGAACCCGAATCGAAGACCCAGATACCTTTGAACACCTGATTTTTGACAAAGAAGCAAAAATTATCAAATGTGAAAAAGAACGCTTATTTAACAAATGGTGCTGGCATCACTGGATATCAACATGTAGAAGAATGAAAATAGATCTGTATCTATCACCATGTACAAAACTCAAGCCCAAATGGATCAAAGACCTCAACATAAAGCCAGCCACACTAAACCTCATAGAAAGGAAAGTGGGAAGTACACTTGCACACACTGGTACAGAAGACCACTTCCTAAATATAACCACAGTAGCATCCTAGCTTCTTATCACATCACAGGATCATGGTGCAATTCCCCAGGGAGGCAGAGTACAAAGTGGTTTCAATGCAATGGTTACTGCTTTCAAATTCTATCTTAAATTATTTGCTCCATTTTTTTCTCACTGTGGCCCTTAGATATCCCTTATTTAGATTTACTAAGATCAGTCTACTATGCATTGTGACTAGCAAAGCAGTGGCTATAATTGTTTCCACCTAGACTTCAAAGGATGAACCAAAGAGGTGTGAGGTACTGAGAAATAACTATCACCAAGAAGGACTCGTTCTTCTTTTCTATACCCCCTCATCTGTCCTCAAATCCTTCTCATTCACTTACTACTTTTTGCTCCATTATCTCCCAATAGGAAGAACCTGCTGTTGTTATTCTGCTAAATGGATGTAGTATTAAACCTATGGCCAAAGACCTATAATTGTACATATGGATAAGTGAATCTCTCAAACCTCATCAGAGGATCTTCTTGTAGTCAATGGTGATTAGCTAAGGGAACTATGAATGATCAATGTTCATCGAATAAGAGATTATTGAATAGTCGGCCCCAAGTGGCATATCTCTGTCTCACCGCCTGCTCCCAAGGCTCAGGAATTCCTGTAGAAGAGGGGAAGAAGGATTGTAAGAACCAGAAGCAAAGATGACTCCTGTGGAACAGTGTTTTCTGTATGCAACAGGAAAGTTCTTGTATGAATTGAAAGCATCTGGGAGATGTTTGCATAAAACCTGTACTGAATCAAAGATAAGGTGTTATTCTCAAGCCCTGCCCTAGCTAGAAAGTATATATTATAGTTTAAATGTGATGCTCTCAGCATTCATGTGTGACAGGTTAATGTATAAAATGAGTGTTGGTAGTTAAGACCTTTGAATGTGATTAGATCTTTTAAAAATGATTGGTATGTTAGAGTTATTATTATAGGAGATTTGGCTATTGTGAGAATAGATTTGCTGTAACAACCAGTTTTGCCTTCATCTGTCCTATTATCTTCCCTTATCATTTCAGTATCTGCTATGGGGTGATACACAAAAGGACTTGATTTTGAACTTTACATTATTTTCTCCAGAGCTTTGAGAAATGTGTTTAATTTCTTAATAAATCACCCACTTTGAGATAGCCTTTCATCATAATCCAATGATAGTTGATAAAATGTGATTTGATCCTAGTTTATATTCATTTAAAGCCCTCACTATTTCTACAACTTTATATAGAGGCGTGGCTGTATAAGTGTGGAATGAATGAATCACAAATGTGAGTCAACAATTCTAGTCTCCAAGTGAAATTTTCTGCATGACCTTAAAAAGTTAATTAAATACTATAATCCTTTTCATCTAAAGTATGAGCTTTTTTATAATGTATACTTAAATTGGTTATTTTAAGCTAAGGATAAAAAGTAATAAAATATATGCATGTATTATACAAAGCAAAAGAGATAAAATGTTAAACTAAGATTAAGATTACTGGGGAGTGGTAAAATCTGGAGTTAAGTGCCTTGTGTTCAAAAGCCTTCCATAGTTTGGAGTAAGTTTGCATTCTTAATCTCTCTTTTCTCTCTTTGAACATTTTTGAAACAATACTTTGCCTGAAATTTTGATATGTAAAAGAAAAACAGTGCTGCTTAAAGTCAAATGGGATTTCAAAGACTATGACGCTATAGTTAGCAATAGATCCTAAGAAGGCAGTGACTTAAAGGTTACAACCAAGTATTTGGCTGAAAATAAATTTCTTACATGGGGTAACAATCTGCATATTTTTGTAATACTTGTTGCCCTAGGTGAAATGCTGTTCAAGGTTTAAAGCCTGCTGAAAGTTCACAAAATATAGCATCTGGGCATCCACAGATTCTGCTAGGACCTCTGATTCATCACAAATCTTGTGGCATTTGATTTTGAAAAGCTCTGATAGACCTCTTTGTCACTTAGGCTTTCCTGGAACTAAGAGTCAAAAATCCAATACTTGCAGTTCTTCCTCCCTCCTACTCACTTTTCCTGACAAATCAAAGGTAAATATGGACGATGCTTCCCGTCTCTATTTCCTGTTGAAGTTTTTCCCACATGCAGAGAAGTTACCTCTTGGACTATATATATAGCTCAACATCAATTGAATGTGTCACCTGGAGGATAGGATGTTCTATAGAACTGCTGTCACAGCTTTCTTAGAATTCTTTGTGCGCCACTTTCAGGAATTATCATATAATCTCTGGTCTTGCAGACATTTTCAAGACATACTCATATGAACTTTCACTAATAAGTCTTGCTACTCTGTGCCACAGAAAGACAGCCCTGCCACATTTTCTCTATAAAAATTCCATTGTGACTTGCCATCTTGTCAGAGAGCTCTGCCTTTATTTCATGCATTTTCAACCACAGGAAAAATGACAGAACTGTCATTCCACCAGAAAGACATGTCATTTCATAAGACAAAGCTTATGATAAACTTACCTCTTTTGTGCTCACAGATATTCGATTCTCAGAAAGCTCTGTCTCAGTTGCATACTTTCCTATCCACATCAAGTACCTTACCTCTACAAAGTCCACAACCATCTTTGATTTTGACATACCTCACAACAATCACCCATGTGTTATGTTACTTTTCCTGGGGGCTATATAAAAAATGTCTAATCATGTCTTTTATGGCACTGATAACAGATCAAAATAATAATTCCAGTAATTTTATTTTTCTCTAAATGAAAGACACTCTTTCAGTGTGGCTATTCACTAGGGAAGAACATGACTATGTGACACAGAATACTATGGTCACTGACTTAGCAGTCATAGTAATAAAATCAGAAGAATAAGACTAAGAGTTAAACCTATGCAACTAGTAATGTGGCTTTTAACATTTTTTTTTAATCAAAGCAAATTTAGAATGGTCAAGAACACTTTTAGATTCTCACAAATTCTTCTTGCCTCCCAGGTAGGAAGGAGAATATTAACTGAAGACAGAACTTCCATGATGCAACTTTCATGAAATAGTCATCCATCCTGCGGTGAAACTTTTCCGTGATAAAGCCATTCTTTTCACCTGCACTTCTAAGCTAAGGTCAATAAATTTCACTGGTTCAGTCGACTAGGCTTGTGAGAAATCATTGCTCTGTTCTATTGTCAATACAATGAGGTGAACTGCTGTTTGCTTCCTTTATCCCAGGAAAAGTAGTGTAAGAGATTGTATCGGATATTTACAGATACAACAACAGTACTGAATAATTATGATTAATATATATATATATATATATATATATATATATATAAAAGCACAGCTGTCACATCCAGTTTACTTGTGTCTTTGTTTCTAAGAGTATTTTGTGTAAAAATAAAGTGAGCTTTGTTTTTAAAACAACTCCATTGGTCTTCATCTTTCTGATTAAGATATGAAGGCAATTTACATTTGAGATAATTATGTATTTCAGAATTAGTCTGCCTTTTGGGGTGCTAGGGGTTAAATTTATGATATTATTCATGTTAACCAAATATTCTATCACTTAGTTACACCCAAAATCGCATGTCTGTGTTTGTTCCTTCTTTTCTTTATTTCTGTTATTTGAACACTTTTAGAGACTTACATATTGATAATAGGCTTTTTTTTTTCTCAGTCTTTGTATAAATTTTTGTACTGGTTATTCTCGGCACTGCAACTATTATCAGTATGCTTATATTAACTAGGATTACTAGTTTAATCTTTTAGGCCAAGTGTAAATCTCTTTCATTTAGGTCTAATTACATTATCTACTTTTAGTTGTCTTGTGTGGAGTACTAGACACTATCACTTTTGCTGAAAGCATTATTGCATTTTTGTTTATTAATTTATGTGGTGAATATAACCTAATGTCTAGTCTAAAGTTCTTCTACTCTAGTGTTAATTCTTTTCTGATACTCTCGATATTTTTTTAAAGATTATTTCTATTATAGTTGAAAAAAATCCTTTAGTCAATATTTGTGTGTAGGTTCAGGTCTTGGTTTTCTTTTATCTGACTATACCTTCAATTTTTTTTATTAGCAAAGAACATTTTCCAATTTCTTTTTTCAAATTAATATATGTATTATTTATTTTGTATTGCCTACTTCAAATTTTAATTTTCTTTTTTAAGGAAGTTTTTTTCAATACCAACCACAGTTTTCCTTTCTTCTCTCTTCCAGTTTCCTGTCCCCACATCCCATCTTAGCCTCTTTCCCAATCTACTTGCTTTAACTTAATTCAGAAAGGGGCAAGTTCAACATGGGAGTCAACAAAGCATGGCTTATCAAGCTGTGGCAGGACCAAGTTCCTTCCCCTGCATCAAGAGTGGGCAATGCATCCCAGCATGGTGAATAGGTTCCAAAACACCATCTCATGTTCAGGAACTGGGCTGATCCCTGGAGTAAGAGCCCTACAAACATACCAAGCTACACAACTGTCACTCCTGTGCTATTCTTTAAGAATTTCATAGAGTGTATTATTATCATATTTACTATCTCCCCGTCTTCTCCCAGATTCACCACCACTTCTCCAACCACCCGTCTTCATGTCCTCTTTTTCAACAAATTTATGGCATCCAAATTTTGTGCTCAAATTCTTTTGGATGTAAAACTTATCTTGAAGTGAGGTCTAATTATCAAGGGACACATTCTTTTTCTGTTGGTGTTTTTATTATTTTTACTCGCTCTTTTTACACAGTATATTAGCCCCACCCTAACCAAGAAGCTTTTTGCAATTGATGTTTTTTAGAAAAGGTAAAATCAGTATTCTCCACCGAAGTATCTAGGTATATTAAAGACACTCCAGTTCAGGCTTCATACCCAGTAGTAGTTGGCCAACATAAAAAAGGGATACATTCTGAAACAAAACTGGCTATTCTTTTGCTCAGCAAGGCGTAGGACTTCATTTTGAATTCTACTTTCTATGCTGATATTTCTTCTTATTTCAGTTTACACAGTGCTTGTTTGCTCTGTCATAGTCACTATGAGTCTACATGTTCAGAAGATAAAGTTTCCTTGCAATTATCTAACCTCTCTGGCTCTTACACTATTTCTCCCCCCTCTCCCACAATGAACCCCAAAACTCAAGAGAAGTAAGTGAAGCATATACGTTTTTTGCAGGGATGAAAATTTTGCAGACCCTTATATTTTGTATCTTGACCAGTTTTGGGTGTGTGTTAATCATTATCTACTGAAAATTGAAGCTTTTTATATGAAGGCTGTGAGGCACATTAATCTATATGTATAATAAGTCATTAGGAGTCTGTTTAATACTGTGTCTAGCAGAGTAATAGTGGTAGGTTCTTCTCTAAGGATCAAGACCAGACTAACTGCAGATAATTGGCTCTGATAATTTCACCATAGATGGATTTCATCTTGTGGAGTACACCTCAAATCTACTCAGAAATTGATTAGTTATCCCATAATATTCATTCCACTATTTTAACAGTGATCATGTCTTGCCAGGTCAGTCCTTATTATATTTCGCAGGGTCCATAGAAAGATATAACTGATGATTACTTGTCTCCATTTTTAGCTTTGCATAACACCTTCCAGCACTATGAAAGCTAGCTAGTAAGGATGAAGTTTCTGGGTCAATGTGAGCTACTTTTTACTGTCTTCGATGACTCAGATATGCTGTGTCTTCATAAATAGGGTCTTACAGTCAAATTCTGGAGAGTAATAAAGAGCATTGGAAATAGTCTGTAATATTGGGGGATCTATGGGACCCCACTGGCAAAGAAATTTAAATGTGGTCATACTATCTGGGCACTGGAGATTTTATTTGCTTTCCCAAAATGTCTAGTAGGGTCCCATACATTACCCCAAAGGACAATTTCAACAAGGGCAGAACTAAAACCCTTATTAATAATAAAAAAGTTTAACTTCTCAGAATTAGAAACGTATATTTCTTTACTTTCATCACATCCTAGCTAAAAATTCTGTTTGTCCCTCTTCACTTTACACTACAGGATTGATTGATATTTATTTTCATGGAGTTCTTCTAACCTTTCTCCTTAGATACCAGGTTCCTCTGTACCCCAAACAAGTCCTATCTTTACTTTTCTCCTTGTATTTACTGATTCTATTTATTGAATTTGTAACACCTGCCACATCTATGAAGTATTGTTGAGAATATTTTTATAAAACTTTCCCTAAAGTCACACTGGGAAAGAAATACAGAGCACCCTGTGTTTATTGTGTGATTATCTGGGTTATATGGTCATGTCTTCTCAGAACAGGGACTGTGGAACTTTATCAAGGATCTCAAGAATGTGACTAGTACAAGTCTCTCTTCAAGCAAACTTGTTAGGTGAGATTGTGTTAAGAAATATTGGAGAGTTCAGCATTTTACTAGGGAAATCACATTCCCCCTTGTGGTTCTTTGACTTATTAATCAAAATAAGAGTAGATTCAAAAGGAAACTCAAGGACAATTTTATTGGAGTTGAAAAGATAAAAAAAAAGAAACAAGAATATCTAGCTTTAAATCTTGGCCATTACCCAAAGGAATGGAGAAGAGAAGGAAAAGAAACCATTCTGACAGGAGATGATGATGCACGCCTTTAATGCTAGCATTCAGGAGGCAGAGTCAAGCAAATCTTTGTGAGTTCAACCTGGTTTACAGAGCTAATTCCAGGACACCGAGGACTACACAGAGAAACCCTGTCTTGAAAAACAAAAGCAAACAACAAAAAGACATGCCATTTGAATCAAGTGATTGTGGAAATAAGCCATATGGCAGAGAAACAGACACATAATAGGGAGGGGAACTTTAGAGAAATAATGAAGTCCAAAGTAAAAGGCAAAGGATGCTGAGAAGAGAGAGAGAGGGAGAGAGAGAGAGAGAGAGAGAGAGAGAGAGAGAATGTTTTCTGGGAAGGAAATATACATTATCTCATTAAAGGGAAAATTATTCTTCCTAGTTCTAAGATGGTTTAATATAAACCCCTAATTCCTGAGAGGTGGTCCCTTTGTCAGATAATTGACCAATTCAACTGGATTAACCTTTATTAGAGAAGGTGATGGCATATGACCACTCAGAGGTAGATTCACTTCTTCACTGTAAAAACATTGAGTCCTTACCCCAAATCAAAGGGAATAGGAGCTATAGGATAATATTAATAATTCAGCTCATCACATAGAAAAGTAAAAGCCAGTCGGAGGCCTGATCTTTCGGCGCCAGGAGACCCAGCATTGGGGTGAGTTTCTGGCCCACGGCGCCAGCCTGGGACGGGGAGCTCGGGGGTTTCTTGGCCCCCTGTCCTGCTTGGGCTCTCTGCAGGGCCTCTACTCCCTGGGTGCTGCCTCTTTCTTCCTGGCCCACCCAGCTTCCGTCCAGAGCCCTCCCCACTTCTCCCCCACTGCCCACTTTAGGCGCGTGGCATCGCCCAGCCCAGCCTATCTGGGCGCTGAGTCCGAGTACCCGGGGCTTCCGGGGGGCAGCAGTTCCTTTGTTTCTGTGGCCTGCCTGCACCAAGCGGGGTAGGTGCTTTGTCTGCGAGCTGCCCAACCAGCATGGAGGCCTGATCTTTTGGCGCCAGGAGACCCAGCATTGGGGTGAGTTTCTGGCCCACGGCGCCAGCCTGGGACGGGGAGCTCGGGGGTTTCTTGGCCCCCTGTCATGCTTGGGCTCTCTGCTGCCTCTTTCTTCCTGGCCCACCCAGCTTCCGTCCAGAGCCCTCCCCACTTCGCCCCCACTGCCCTCTTTTGGCGCGTGGCATCGCCCAGCGCACCCTATCTGGGCGCTGGGTCCGAGTACCCGGGGCTCCCGGGCGGGCAGCAGTTCCTTTGTTTCTGTGGCCTGCCTGCACCAAGCGGGGTAGGCGCTTTGTCTGCGAGCTGCCCAACCAGCACGGAGGCCTGATCTTTCGGCGCCAGGAGACCCAGCACTGGGGTGAGTTTCTGGCCCACGGCGCCAGCCTGGGACGGGGAGCTCGGGGGTTTCTTGGCCCCCTGTCCTGCTTGGGCTCTCTGCAGGGCCTCTACTCCCCGGGTGCTGCCTCTTTCTTCCTGGCCCACCCAGCTTCCGTCCAGAGCCCTCCCCACTTCGCCCCCACTGCCCTCTTTTGGCGCGTGGCATCGCCCAGCCCAGCCTATCTGGGCGCTGAGTCCGAGTACCCGGGGCTTCCGGGGGGCAGCAGTTCCTTTGTTTCTGTGGCCTGCCTGCACCAAGC